GTAGACTGACAGGGAAACAGTGAATCCTATTTCTGTTGCTTTTGCACTGAAGTCTAGGGGAATCCTGCAAATGGAGCAGCTATTTAAGTGTGGCCCTGTGTTCATACAGCCACCCCGTGAATCTCAGATGAGTCATCCCTATCAGACCCCAAATAGCTGGCCTTTAGGAAGTCATTTCGGCCAAGTACCTGAAACCGTAAGCAGTTAGACTCGGAAGCAGGAGCAACTTGGATATCTACTGCAAATTTGGAAAAAGCTGCCAGTTAGCAAGTTATTTTCTTTCCCACACTTCCATTTGTTCTTTCTCGTGACCAGGGTGACATCTGGAAAGAGAAGCAGTTTAGCTTTTTCCTAAACAATGTGCTTTCTTCCAGGACTCTCTGCCTGGTGCTGTTCTTACTGAAAGTAATAACATAATTACCATTAAATTAAAAGGGATCAAGAGGAGGCTCTCATCCCCTACAGGAACATACAGCTAAGTGAAGCTTCTCATGCCACCAGCACTTAACCTCCCAATTTCAATTGCCACTTTGGGATGCTGGAACAGGTCGTCCCTGTTTAAGGAAGGGAGCAGGCTCTCCATTTTTTAGTTGCACAAAGAGGGATGGCCACTTTCTTACTTGTTTGTTTTAATTACTTTTAAGTGCCTATTCTGATCTTTTTCTTCAGTTTTACAATATTAAAGCTCATGGTATGAAGCTCAATACCTCCTGAGAGAAAGAGCTTTAATTCTCACTCACAATAATAATGGTAATAAGAACAATACATTTTAATGAAGTCAGGGATTGGGTTTATCTAGTATTTCCAACTGCCTCGCAGCCAAAACATCTTTTTTGTGAACTACCGAGTTTGGGATTTTTAAGGTTCTGGCTTTGCTGTATTTACCTTTGATTTCACTAATGACTGACATGCTTTCCTTCAAAGCGGTAGGTTTGCCAGTTTAGTAAATAGGACCATCATAGTTTCAGTTTTAATTTCCACTTCCCTGAGTCTATAACTTCGCTTCCTCCATTTTGTGTGCACGCATCACTTTAGAAGAGGAGTTTAAGCTGTAGGTGTAATCTTAAGTTTTGTAGGTGTAATCGTAACAGACTTAGGAGATGCTAACACAAGGTTTCAGCATCTACGGCAGAATCACAAGTACCTACCAAGGAGAATAAGCTGTTATGAACTGGAAGCATCTACACCCTTGCCACTGGTTTTGTGGCCTGTATTGAGAGCAAGATCTTGTCTTTACTGTAACTAGTAAAAGATTATCCCAGCATTCATGATTGTGTGCTGTCATACAAAATCTGAACCACATACTGTTTTCTTATATTTTGACGTTTCAGAGGTGACATGCTCCTGTATATATATTTTTGATATATAAAAATAGGACTTCCTCTTGCTACTCAAAAAAATTTAGTCTGTTCCATTTGGGTTTTTCCTCCCTGGGCTGGACAGACTTCATAGGTCCTAGCCCCAGGCACTGCAGTAATACAGCAGAAAGCGGGCTGGCGCGGCGTGCAGCCTGTACGGCAAGGTTTCTGCTCCTTATACGGTCAAAATTGTTTGTGCCCTCATTGTATTTGCATGTATGTTGCTGTGTTTTAAAGCTCATCCAAAGGATGCTGTATTCCTAAATACAAGGGGTCGGGACACAATCTGATTTCTATATGAAAGTTTTGGGAGTAGAAAAAAAACTAAGTGTGGAAAAGAAGTTCAATTCAGTCAAAAAAAAAAATCTGAGAGGAGAACTGTGCGAGGTTTTAAAGTACAGCTTTCTTGATTGTACCCTAAATTTTAGTTTATCTGCAAAATTACACTAGAGAAAAGAAAACTGTGTATTTATAATGAAAACCAGAGGCAAGCATAACAAAAAAAAATCACAGACTTACAAAGTCGGAGTTGTGCTGTTAAGGGAGATTGAGAAAACTTAAGTTTTCCTGGAGGTAAAAGACAGGCCAACGCTTGCAGCTCTTTGGGGAACTTCTTCGGTAGGAGGAAAGGCAGCAGATTCAAGACTCCAATGGAGACAGAGTGCCTCTTAAGGCTGGGAGAACTCCCATGCCCACTGAGAGGATTTGGGAATATTCAGTTTCAATTGGATGGCTGTTTCAGGGATTGGGTTGTTTAAAATGATGTGAGTTTCTGTGTGCTTGGTTGCTGGCTGGGGTTAAACCATGACAGTTTCACTTTCCAAATTTGGTTGTAATAAATGCTTTGAAGTCAAATATTGTGGACTATTTGTCTTTAGAAACCAACCAGATTTACTAATTCCAAAACCTGATATAGATAAGAAGGAAGTTTAAGAGATGAGCAATAACATTATAATTGCTCTTTGCCAGCCACTTAACACACAAAAGCCATTGCTTAGCTCTTAAATATAAACATCAGATTATAAACCAGATCCCATTAATTTGGTGATGACAGATGTTTTCCTTTATTGTGGATTTGTGTTTCAAAAGTCTCAATTTACAACCAAATTATTAATCTAACGTTAGCATTCTGAAGATGATATTAAAAAGTTAATTGAACTTAAATCTAGTTGAGGTAGATTCAGCTCCTGAGTCTGCAGAGACCCTTAAGCAATAACTCTGGTCCTGTTCATCCCAGAGGGCTGTATTAGCTCTGGCAGGTAAAGACTGTACTTTTGGTATGAATACCTTAACCAAAATACCTAGTTAATAAACTGGTAACGCAAAAGTGTACTCCTTTTCTTAGGTTCAAAAGCCACTGCTACTCTCTAACCAGTTTCTAAAACCTTGACATTTTCTTCTGCATCTCCATCTTTACTGGGTAAACTTTTACTTTACCTCTTGAAAGTGTCTATAAATGTGAAGCATAGTGAAAAAGCGTGTACATTAGTGTGTAAAAAGAAAAACAGGTCTCCCCAATTCACTCAAGCATATGATGCTATGTTTTTCTTTTTAAAAATATCATTCATTTACCAAAACTTCACCAGTGTGTTGGCTGTAAACTGTCCAGAGTATTTGGGTATACCCTGAGGAGGAGTAGATATGGCCTGGACTATAAATCGTTTTGAAAGAATCCTGCTGGGTTTGGTCTGCAGAGCTCGTTTGCTTCCTCGCAGTCTGCTGTTTGTGGTTAATGAGTGTATTTGCAACTTCTGAGGATGTCATTGCTGCAAGGGTAACTTCTGTTACTGTGCTCACACTATTCCTTTTCAGGCAGTGTTTGGCACGAGCATGATCCAGCTCACTGTGGAGTAACCCTTGAGTTTCTCCATCCACACAAATATCCTACTCTTGCAGCCGTCCCAGGGAGATTGTAGGACAGGCTGTCCCTACAGCAGAAATGTGAATACATTGAGAACGTATAGCGATATAGTGGGCTTGTGAGAAAACCTGTCTGTCCTTTCTGAGCATCTAGGGAGAACTGGGAGGGCTGTACTGGTGGAGCAAAGCCTCGCTGCTGAGCCCAGAGTGGTCATTTTGGAAATAACAAGTCTTGTGCTTACCCAAAATTTGACTTATGCTGGCTCAGCTAACGGAAGTTAAAACATAGCTGTATAAATACTGGAGTTTTTATACGTGGATGGGATTTTGGTAGGAGTAACACTATAATTCTAACATAACTATGCTAACGAGGCTAAAGAAGTTCGACACGTCTTCCTTTGGTCAGGACTGTGCTCAGAGACAAGATCTGTCCCTCATTTGTTATTAAAGCTCCAGTGGAACAAGATGAATACAGGGAAAAAGACAACCATCCATCCAGTTAGGCCGTGGGAAGGGGCAATGGTTGAGAGGGGGGGGTGTAGGGGGAGGATGTAGGAGGATACGTTCATGGAGGAACTGGACAGGGATGGTCCAGCCTGGGGGGGGCTTTGTCAAGGGAGCTAACTCCATAGCATTGTCTTCTCCACCTGATACAAGTGTGAAATATTCTCCAGGCATCCTTGGTATTTCAAGTGTCATTTACAGATCTGAAGTGAGGTAACAGTGCAGCTAGCACCGGTGCAAGTTCTCCTTGAATCTTATTTAAGCTGTGTTTTCCACAGAAAATTTGGTCTTCATAATATCAAATGCAATTTTAAAGAAAATTATTTAAAAATTAATAATTCATTTCAAATATCCTCCTTCTGGCTCTTTTTCTTGATTTTTTCCCCCAACTTTGTTCAAAGTTAGTAGAGTCATGGTTTTCCTCTCACGCAGTAGTTTAATGGCTTTTACTCCTGTGCTTGGAAGACCTTTATAAGAGTTTTAGCTCTGGAGCTTCAGTCATGCACCGATTAAACAAGCGGGAATGATAGAGCTTATCCTGTTCAGCCGTAAATCTTTAAATCTGACTTTAGAGAGCATGTGCCGCTCATGGTATAATGTGGAACTGGGACAGTTCATGATGCCCAGAAAAGAATGACCAGGTTATTCCCACGGGCACAGGTTTTATTTTGTCCCTGTGGTCCTGTTATTGAAAGTGTGTGCACACAACAGAAACCCACTTTCTCTCGCACCCAACCCATCTGTCATTAAGCACGTGCACGGTGCTAGGCTTAGATGGGAGAGCATTTTCATATGGAGCAGTTCGGTATTTGGTGTGAAGATTCATTAAAGTTTTCAAGGGACAATTTCATTTTTAGGAAGTGCTGGTGGTTAAAAAGGCATATCACACAGAGACGCTGAGGTACTTGGTTAAGTAGGTTTACTGTAGTCTAAATAAAGCAAGGAATCAGTTCAGATAGTGGCAAAGTATTATGCACTTTGTATTTTAATTAGAGATGGTAAAATGAAGGTGTTACCAGTTTCAGGAGATGGATAAGCATCTGGTCTGTTTTTAATTATTAAAACAATTGTAAGAAATATAACAAGTATTCATTAATTTAGTTCAGCATAATTAGTCAATGTTGGGATAAAACTTCTGTTCCTATGACTTCTGGAGCTGCATGTTGCAATCTGTATCACTTCATTAATATGGTATCCTAGTGAGCATGTTTCCTATTTTGCTCCCACGGGTGAGATTTAGAGGTATGATGGAGCACTGTTTTGACTTCTCACAGGATGAGCTGGATGAACTTCGGGCTGAAATGGAAGAAATGCGTGACAGCTATTTAGAGGAAGATGTTTACCAGCTGCAGGAGCTCCGGCGAGAGCTGGACCGGGCAAACAAGAATTGCCGCATTCTGCAATATCGTCTCAGGAAAGCGGAACAGAAAAGCTTGAAAGTTGCACAAACAGGCCATGTGGATGGAGAGCTCATTAGGAGCCTGGAGCAAGATTTAAAGGTGGGTGAGAGATTCATATTCAGAGCGAAAGAGAGCAGACCGGGATTTGGCTCCCTGCAATGGAAGGGAAGATGACACATGAAACAGGCAGTAGTTCTCCAAACGTCAGGACCAATTTCCTTGTTCTGCGGTGGAGAACAAATATGCAGCTTATCATCATAAAAAGATGTGTTAGTGAGCAAAAAAACATGTGCTTAGATTCAAAATGAAAGAAATGCAGTCAAGTTACATTTGTGCATTTGAAAGATTTAAAGGGTTTTGTTTTACTGGTTTTACTGAAAACCTTAGCTTTGTAAAACTGTATAAACAAAACCTGATATGCTTTTCCCAATTCATGCTGTTTCCTTCCTTTTCTCTTCTTGCTTATGCCAAATAACTGAAAAAAAACTAGTCAAAGTTGCATTTCTTAGTGCCTAATGAGTTACTCATAACAGGAACAGACTGTTACAATATTTTAGCAAGGCAGATAGAGAATCAAAATGCTATTCCCATAAAAACACAAATTCCTGTAAAAATTATGTTCATACTGAAACAGTTTTTATATTTTTCAGAAATGTTTCCATCAAGGCTAAGCTTTGTATAGGCATGATAGCTTATCTAGCTTTACTTGTCTGTCTTAATATTGCTATCTTGTAGCTGTTTTGAAAATATCTTCTATAGAGAGGGACTGCTTACCACTAGAATTATTAAGCATTTTGTACTTAAAAATGCAAAACATAAAACCTTCTGAAACTGGAATGATTGGTTCCCAGCAGTGGAAATGAGAGTGACATATCAAATCATCAAACTTTTCAAAATGTCAGACCTAATTTTCTCTTTTATGATAGAAAACAAATGATAACCTTATCATAATAGAAATGATACCTTACTCAGTAAAAATGTTGTACATAGATTCGAGTGAAAGAGATACTGAGTTTTTTTAGTCTGTTTGCTTTGTTTTTGCTGACTTGTTGTTATTCAGTAATTCATCATTTTGCATGATGAATCACCTTTCCAAATGTTTTTGGAGTAAATATTTATTCTTGTTAGGCTGGACTCAGAAAACCTAAGCTAGCATATATTTCTGTGCTTTCGTATCACTCTTGCCTAGTTGTGATTGCTGCTAGAGCAGCAAATTTGGGTGGATGAGACTACTGCATGGATGCGGCTTTGATGGATGACCTGTCAGCTTTACAGCACAATTCCTCATCTTTTGTTTTATCGACGTGATATGCTGCGACTTTGATGTGAGGGTTTGGTATCTGCTTGTTCCCTCCTGCTGTTCATGGCATTGCCTTAGCATAATGTGGAGAGGGAGCTGGAGGTGGGTAATCAAATATATTTTCATCTTGGATTTCTTTATTAGAAATGAATATTCATTTTGGTACTTGGAAGGCTTGGAGTCTTTCATCAACAGTCTCATAATGAAATTAAAAATCTCTCGGCTGTCTAGGGTTGTAATATGCTTCCTACCGTAGGAGATGTACTGTAGCTGTTGCTCCTCACGGATCCTCTTCATGCATTTGTGCTTTTCTGACCAGGTAGCCAAAGATGTTTCTGTCAGACTGCACCATGAGCTGGAGAGCGTGGAGGAGAAACGTGTTAAAGCCGAAGATGAAAATGAAATCCTTCGGCAGCAAATTATTGAGGTGGAAGTATCCAAGCAGACACTGCAAAATGAGCTGGACAAGTTAAAAGAGGTAAGCAATAGTCAGGAAAGCCATGCAGAGTGGTGTTGCTGGGTTAGATGGGAAATTTGGCACGCAAGTATCTTAGACTAACTCTTACATGAAATGCCTACTGATCTTGCTTGTACAATTGCCCAAAAGATCTCCTCGCCTTTGTTGTATGTCCCAGTGTGTTGGTAATTTAGAAACTGTAGAGAGGTAGAGGAGTGATGCGGGGGCTTTTGTCCGGGGCTTCTGTCCCATTTTAAACTGCCTCCTCAAAGCCTCTCTTCCTAGTGGAGCAAAACTATCTTTGATTTGAGTCCAGCTAGCTTTGACTCTCCTTTACGCAGCCTGGGACTTCCACCTATTTGAGAGTCAAATGAAGTGTGCGTGACTCGTCTCTGAGAGGATACTTTGGATAGGCAAGCCGCCGCTTTGGCTGGTGCTCTTCAGTGGTGACAGTGGGAGCCACTAGCATGAGCTAGGCAGCAAGAATGTGGTCTGTAATGTATAAATAACATTGCACTTCAGGCACAGAAATGCTGTCTGTTGAGAAAAGGGATCATTTCAATTGGAGCTGACACATAGTCATACTGGGTGAAGTGGCGATCCTTGGAAGCGAGTGAGCTGAGGAGCAGGGGACAGTAAAGGAAAGCCAAATACTAAGCGTGGCTCTTTGCTGGAGCCCACATCCTGGTCTGTAGCGGTATTTCTGTTCTCTTAGCAGTACAGCAGATTGGCAGCTCACAACCTCTGCTCTGTTTTAAACCAGATTGAGATAGATCATTTAAACATAATGGGGTAAGGCATTTATCTTCTGAGCCCTGGTCAGATTTAGAGAGCTGGTGCAATTATGTGTTATTCTAATCTTTCAAACAATGCTTGCGAGTCAACTGGCACAAAGCCTGACTCAGTTTTATAAGGACAACCCCTATTTAATTTCTCTGTGTGTTTGGGTTATGAGGAGTCCAGTGCAAGAGTTTTGGAGCATTTTGTACCTAACAGAACAGATCATCAGCCGGTGTAAACATCAGTGTTGCTTAGATTACTTAGGAGCCTGACGCAAAAGATGAAGTCTGCATGATGTATTAGCTATTCTTCTTTCTCAATGTTATTTGTGAATGCTGTGCTTAATGGACATGATACCATGTTACAGGGTCTGCAGTCTATATTCCATACAAAAATACTGTGTCATCCACAGTACTGAATGTATTGCTTGTTGTTGATTAACACGCAGGTCCACTACATACTGCTTGATGGTCTTTGGGATTAAGCAGTTTGAGAAACTAAATTGTGGGTGAGCAGTGGGAAAGAAACTGGTCCAGCAGTACTAGAGTCTCAAGCTAGCTCTAACCAGGCTGAATTTACCCTGCTTCTTAGATTGCTGCAGCCTAGCAGGGCAGGGAAGCCCAACTAACTCAACTACCTCTCTGCTGCATTGCAGTGAACGTACCCTTACTTTGGAAGCAGACTTTGCCCCATAAGAGGCAAAGGCTGGAGGAGAGCTAGGGAAAAGGGGAGATGGCAGGCAGAATGATGGGATGCTTTTATGGTGATCTGGAGGCAGAGCAGGGCATAAGATGTAGCGTAAGAGGTGGTAGTAGTAGTAGAGAGAGTCTGGTTTTTCATAGCATAAGTGGTGGTTTCTCTGGGAGTCAGAATTTCATAAGGTCACAGTAGGTGAGAAGACAGAAGTTTGGGTCCTCAGCAGGTCACACAAGGACAGATGAGCCAAAAGTTGGAGAAACACAGTGATATGTGTGCCAGATAAGTATGTGTTTGCAATGTTGTTGACATTGCTGGAAAAAAAAAAAAAATCTTGCCTCAAGATGTGTTCAAATAACTACCAGAAGCAATGCCTCTTCAGGAACATTTAATGCGTACAAAGCTCTAAAGGAATGTATTGTAGACATGCCAGTGGGAAAACTAGTGCTTTATATATCAGGAGAAAAGCGACCCAAAGGCCATGTAGCTTCTTCCCAATCCACCCTAACTATACATGTCGTCTATCTAAAGGCTGACACTTAGGAGGACCGTCTTTCCTATCCAGCCCTGGAGCATTGCCCGAGACCCAGTTAGACAGTATTCACTCTCTGATATAGCTCACTGTCACCATATGCTCATTTTCTGTAATATCCTTGACTATTCTCAGCCCTTTTCCTCTATCATCCTCTGATCCACAAAAAGGTTTTCTCACATCCGCGTTCATGTTTATTGCTTAATTCAGTGCTAACTTCTGGTTTGTCCTGCCGTATAATTCCCTCGGGTCCAGTTTCTCGCTGCAGTGGGTGGCATGTTGATTACCTTTAATACATTTTGCATGCTGAAATATCTTTAGGAACTGTACACATCTCTGAAAGCACTCTTTCTTTAAAGCCACCTTCGTTTTTATCATAGTCTTTTGAAGAATTCCTAACATTTGCGTTGTTTAGTGCTGTTATGGATTCTTTCACCCCAACACCTGTTTCAATCTCCTGTGATACTTTCAACAGGATATTTTTTGGTGTGAAATATATACAGGCTTACTCTGTCTAAATAAAATTCTTATTTCCTTTAAAAAAGCCTTGCAGTTTTAACTGGGAAATTCATTTTTGCCTCCTCCTGACCAGGTAATTTCAAGTTGTTGTATTAAGTAGATATGAGAGAGGCTTTCCTCTTTAGTCACTAGATAACATTTCTCAGTGTGTCTCAGCTTTGCAAATAATAGAAGCAAAGTTACAACAAAGAGGAAGGGTGACAAGAAGTCACCTGCCATGTCCTTCACAGTGCTCTTATCTCCTCTTCTACCGCTGTGTCATAGCTAATGCACTTCCCTCCCCAGTCCCAGATGCTTCTGGATTCCCATTTCATGACATGCTTTCAGAAGCTTTTGCATAATCTATCAAAACCACATCTAGACTCTTGTTTTGTTCTGGTATCTGCCAGGTACTCCCCATCATCAAAATATACTGGTTTTCACTGATTGTTTCAATAAGGAGCTCTGAGATCATCAGTGAGTCACTTACAGGTTTTTAGGATATCCTTTTTTTTTTTCTTTTTCCATAAGCGTGCTCCATCCCTCCAGCCTTTTCAGCACTTCCAATAGATGTATTTTGAGCTAAGATATGGATCAGTAAGGATTTTTAACCAATACTTGTGTATTTTATTGAGTTCTGATGTATTCCAGTTAGACACCATTCTTCTCTGAATGTCTTCATCAGCTCCGTGGCATTCACTTTGCTTAATCATGCCACTCTACTTCCTTTTTTTCAGTCCTCTTAGCCAAAAGATAATATGGTGCTTTCCTTTCCCATAATGCTTCCTAATTTTTTTTCAGATTTTGTTTGTTTATCACTGTGTACATTCATCACTCTGCTACTCTTGCCTGAAATACTTCCACTGATTCTTTTGAAGCTATTTATTTTACCGGGTAAGAATGTTTTCTCTCTGAATATTTTTTAACTTCACTCTCTGTACCAAGTTTTTCTGCTTCAGTGCTCTCTAACTGCTGCAGCACCGTGGTTCATTGAATTTTTTTCCACGATTACATTCACCTACTTTTTCAGTTTCCCTTTTTCAACTCTTCTCTTTTTTCTTTTTTTTTACTGTGAACTTTTTAGCTGGTTTTGGGCCTCCCTCTGATGTCTTTTTTGTGGCATTCTCCATCAGAGCTTCAGAGTTTTCCTACCGCTGTGAACACTTCTTTGTAGCATATCCTTGCAAAACTGAGATGTCTCTAAGAACTGTCCCTTCTAGGAATTTGCTAGGATTTTCTGTGACTTACCAAAGCTGCTTTTTCCTTATAACTTCAGAAGCAAAGGCAGTGTACCCTCACAGATTTGATAAGTACACATATCGCTGCCAAGGCTTGCTTGCTTTTTTCTCTTGTTGTCTAGATTATTAATATGGCCATTTGAGTCAATAGGCTGCCAGGAGAGAAAAAAATGACTCCATCACTAACAGATTACCTCAGCAACATCCCTGCAACTGTCATTTTCCACTTCCTAATGTCCTAATTCAGCTCATGAGAAATACTGATGTGTATTAAGAATTTAACTTGGTCAACCAGTAAGCGTTCAGAAAACTCTTTCCAAAGTTTCCTTACTTTGCACCAATGCAAAACCCTTACCAATTCTCTCCTGAGCATCTACAAACCAGCTCTTTTCTCAAAGGCTTGACAACAGCAAATGGATTTTCTTTGCGATCTGAATATCTTCCACTCAACATCTAACCCATCCCAAACCTCATTTCCTTGGAGCCACCAGGGCATATTTAGGGAACGTCTTCCTTGTATTTTCTCAGCAAAGATATTTCACAACTAGATAATCTATCTTTACCGTAAGTTCAAACAACTATGAAATCATGCTTGGCAAGTGTTGGGTGCCTTTATGTAGTGATCATTAATTCCCCTGCAAGTAATACCTCTCAGAGTAATCCTCTCTCAAAAAACTCCATACCTGGGGAAGAATAAACCATTTTTGCTACTTATTGTAGAAACGCGCTGAGATGGCACAGGACCTGCTCCTGTTCCCCATGGGGAGAATGAGTCGGTCGCTTGTTCGCAGCTGCTAAATGTGTATTTTCTCACGTTCTTTGTCTGGGTTTGGCGTGAGCCAGGGAAGAGAAAGAGGCATGGTCGTGGCAGCGCTGACGCTGCTGGAGAAGGGTAGCCCTGCCGGACTGGACAAAGAGAGGGGAGGATTAGGGACGGGGGTAGCAGCTGCTGAAAGGTTTGACGTGAGTGCTATGAAATGGTTTAGCCTGAAATGAATGAGAATTGTGTAACTGGGAAGAAAGGGGCATTTATTGCTTGTGGGATGGCCGTACTGAGCAGGTGACAGTCTCTCTTTATTGCTGCTGAAAGCAGAAGGACTGGAGGGGGAGCCACCGGAGGTGTTGCTTTCTCTCTTGCAAGGACCTCTGGCGTAGCAGCGACCTCCCCCGTGACACTGAGGTTTTCTTGGCCAGCTCCTAACTTCAGTTGAAATCATTTGTGCTTCGAGCCCTCCAGGTTGTTGGGACCGTTAGTCAAATAACTAACAGCACGAGTG